AATTCTTAATTTTTTATCTTTCCTTAGTTCCTAACGTTCGAACGTGAAGTTTTACGCGTGTTCCTGTAATGTGGTTTTTCTTAATAAAGTTATGATTTGCCTCCTTTGTATTGTTGTTTTAGAATTGTCCTCCGTTTACCGACTGCCTGCAATTAATTGAAACAGACAACTATGTTTCCCTATTTTTTGGGCAACAGAGTCTACGTAATGCACCTCATACACCAATATTCCCAGCATGTTATCCTACGGAGACGGTAGTTATAGGAGTTAATGGGTGAGGAATTAGGATAGGCAGTTAAATATATACTTTAATAAAAACTATATGCAATCACAGAAGAGACCCCTGACCTGACCCTATTACCATCAGCCACAACCGCAAGCTGAAAAATCATCCTCCGCAATTATTCTTATTAGTACCGCAGATTCTAAAGAGAAACATGGAGACATCTGCCGGCCAATGCACATTCCTCTTCCAATATGAAATCTGGAGATCGATTTTTTATTACTATTAAAAGCAAATGCAGTTATATCATATTAACACGAATGAGTTTGCCAATAGAAGTGAATATGCGAGTTCCAGGAAGCAGCTCAGAAGAAGAAAATGCGATCCCTGGAACAAGGGTTTATTTTCCTGACGTTTCGGATTCTGTGATTCAGGATTCTCGACAGAATCCGAAACGTCAGGAAAATAAAATGCTTGTTTCCGTGATCGCATCTTCTTCTTCTTCTTCTGAACGATGAATTTTAATAATAATATTGGTGAATTTACTGCTATCATTGCCAATGACGACAATGACCCCTAAAAACGATATAGAAGGTGGTTACTAGTCACAAATACTACCTAAGAGAATTCGTGAATGTCAAGTCGATTCTGCCAACCCCGAAATTTCTAGACGGTTTATTTAAAGTCGTAAGTAAAAGCGGTCAATACAGAGGGCACAACGGTTGTAATTCCGGAAGGAACTTTCCTAGCCGACGTCGTTCAGTTGACAAATTAGGAAATTGGCAAGCTCTTTTCTTGGCAAAAGGTGAGGTAGCAGGCAGTAAGTATTTTACATTTTACCTACTTCATGTTTTTTGGTCCGTATATTTGTAAAACAGTTAAATCTCTCCACCAGGTCATGTTCAAGCTGTTGTCTTGACTTCTCCTCCTCCTATAGAGATTTTTTGGGAGTCAGCAATGCCGTGGAGACCCTAGTCAGCTTCTTGAGTCAGACAGGCCTCTGGAACGAGGCCATACTGCTCAACACCCTGACAACGATTTCCAATTTGGCAAACGAAACTGTCGGACGCAATAAACTACTGGCGGCTTCCGTCATTAAAGGCCTCACTGTGGTTTTGACCTCAAGGTAATTTGCTGGTTTCGCAAACTGCTAAAAGCGACTTATAAGTGGCGTTTCGTAGGACTGGGTGCTCCGTGTAACGCTTGTTAAGCAATGCCGACGGCTAGATTAGATGTCGAACTTCCGGTCCTGCCCTTAGGACTATTCAGAACCGAGTGCCAAGTGGGATCTAGAACGATTCCATGATCTACCCCATGAAATGTTAACCGAACTTTGAGTTTGAAAGGAGAACTTAGGAATGGTTGTAATACTGAAAATGCAGAGCACCGACTTTTAACTGCACTCCTTTTCTACCGCCTACAAAGAACAAATTCGTGCAAAAGGACTCTTTTATTAGCACAAAATTTTCAAATTGATTTTCAATGCCCTCTTCTACAGAAAATGTGCTGTGTCGGGAAATTTCAGCCGAAATTCTGAAGTGTGTTTTCGATTCGAAAATAGTATTAAAGCAGTAGAAGCTAAAGTGTGCATGCTGTATAACTGTGTTAGAGATTTTTAAAAGAATGTGGGAGGGTTAATGGGAACTTCAACCGTATTGATGGATTCCATACGTACAGTAAAGCTGGGCAAACAAGTCGACCCAAGCGTGATTAAATGAACGGCGCACGGTGAGCCTCGTAGCGCACCTGGTTGGGCGTTGGCTGTGCAAAAGCCTTCTCTGCTGTGTGGGTTCGATTACCACCAAGGCCACGAATTTTTCACAGTTGGCCCAATCGCTCAGAAATAACCATACGAAAATAAAATCGACCCTTCGTGGATTTTCACCTTTCCCGGGGTTCAGAAATGCAACCCCGCGATCAAGGAGGGAGCACTATAAGCTCAACTTCTCACATAGACAAGAAGGGCTAAATTTGCCCGAACAGAAAACGTGTCGCATGGAATAGACTGGAATTGCCAACCACTTTTTTGTTACACGTACATATCTCTAGTTCTGACGGTGCTCTTTCCGGACAATTCTTTGTTTAAAAAAAACCGCAGGTTACTTATGCCTCAAACGCATCACTTAATAATTTATGTTGGTTTCACTAACATTTGAAAAATCACTGATCGTATTTTTAATTTCGGATTTGACCAACAGAAGCTTTTCGTCGGTAAAATAAACCCATTTGAACGGCTTATCTTGAAAAAACGCATATTTCAATCCCCAAAGATACCACCGGATACGAGCAAAATCTGTTGGCCTACTGGCCAACCTTTTGCTGGATGACTCTGCACGTCAGGAGTTCATTACGTCTGGCGGACTTCCTGCCTTGGCTAATCTGCTTTCATCTGCCTATCCGGAGACTAGGCGGTCAGCATGTTCCGCCATCTGTTCCGTCGTGAGGGACACCAAAACTGCAAGTGTGCTTTACGATCTGGGGTAGGAAAGCTTTTCTTCCCTTAGTTGCTTGTACAGGGTGTCCCAGAAGTAACTGACCCTTTTGATTTGCCAATAAAACGAAACTATTAACGCTAGGATATTGAAACTTGTTTTATTCGAAAGAAAAATCTTTTTATGCTTTATTAGAACTAGGTTTTGAATATAATGTCTTTTGAATGATGGCCATGGTTATTTTGACAACTTAGGGTTCGTTTCTTTGTCGTTTCCTAACGCCCCTTAGTGTGCCAGGCGATAGTTGTCTTATTTCAGAACAAATGTTGTTTTTAAGTTCTTGCA